ATGCCTAGACAGAAATGAGGAATGATGCAAATTCTTGGATTCTATCACTATGAAAATATTCTTTCATCGTTTCCTCATATGTTCCTCTTTATCTTCTGTCTGTATTCACTTGTCTATTTTTTTCCTTCATGTGATCAACCTGGGTAGCTTTTGAGCTCCCCTTCCCCGTTGTTGGCCCAGTGTGTCACTCAGGAGACCCTCCATGACTCCCTTCTCGGTGTGCCAGAGCACAGATATAAAAATGACTGCGTGTCCTTTTTCACAGAGTACACAGTGAGGCTGAGAGATCAATAGTTCTAAATTATCACTATGACCAAACTTTTGGGGTATCTAGAAATGGTGTATTTATGTTGCATAGTAAGAATGCCTGGAGTTGTGATATTAATTACAAGCAGAAAAAGCAAAAGAGACTGACAAACCTTGTTCTTCAACAAGATGGGTTGACCTACTGATAGGAAGTGCAATTTTTGAGAATATCTGTAATTTGCTTACTGCACAGTGTTTTGCAGTGTTGTCTAGAACCAAGATTAATGAGAACTTCAACTGAAATACATTCCAGGAGGGTCCAACTCTGAATCCCACTTTTCCCTCTTCTAGAATTTGAAAAGGACTTTGCTTGGAGTCAAGCCTGATTGTGATTCTCTGGAGTTTTGGGACAGGACCTTAACACTTGGCAATAAAGAATCAGATAATTTCATTATACTGTGAAACATATTAAACGTATTACTGTGAAGCATTTAAAAATGAAAAAAATTGACTTGAAATGAAACTGCAACTTACAGTTAGTGCTATGTTAAGCACCTGGTACTGGTTGCTTTTAGAAATATGTTACTGGATTAGGTGGATCATTGATCTGATCAGTCACAGCAGCTTGTGTATTCCTGTCCAGAAAAACTGCTGTTGTTCCAGAGGAATGATGTTTAAGTATTCGAGGGGTTTAAAAAAATGACATATGGAGGTTGAGGTGAGGAAGCTAGTTCTTGCCTTGCTTTGCAGGCAGTCTGCTGTCTTGCCTAATAACCTTCTAACAGTGGAATGGTTAAACTGGAAAACAGGCCAAGAACAAAGGGAAGAGAATATAATGTTCCTATTCGTAGGGTTGGTTGTTTGTGGTGCACTGGAACTGAAATGTCCCAGTAGCAGAGCTGTTGCATCTCATTAATTAAAGTGCTATTAGGTTAAAAGTGACTTTCATTGACTGTTTTATTTTATCCCAGTCCATAATTCTGCAGACGGTTGTAACATTTTTCAGTCTGATGTCTTCCCTGCTATTTTCTGTTTCTTAGTGAAGGACGATTTTCGAATACTGTGTGTTGCAAAGCAAGAAATTGTAGAAGATGAATGTAACTGAGGAAGTCTTGGTACCTTATCATTTTACCTTATTAAAATATGTTGGTAGATTATCTGTCTTGTATCTGCCTAGAAGATATAAAGCATGTTCCTGGTTTTGTTTTCTCTCACTCTCCCATTTGTTTGGATTAGTATTAAATTCCCCTAGTTGTATTTAGTAATGCTTGTGATTCTTTTGTGCTCTGCCACTGAAAATTCATCATAACTGTTGCCTAATCTGCAGCTTTGATTTGGGTTCTTACTGTAATCACATTTTAAACATGCACTGACCCTGTTTGAAGGGTCCTTAGAAAGTTGTTTTTTCACTACAGATTTGGATTTGAAAGTTGAAAAGAATTATTGAAAGCTGTTGAAATGGCTCTCTAATTAGTTCCTCTTTTCCTTAGCCTTATCTGCCCACAAAGGAGAGGGTATGTCCCAGTTCAGTCATGCAACTGGCTGAAAGCCTGCGACAGATCCCAAGCCGAGCCTTGAGCTTCCACTCTTCTGTTGCTTGGGGATTGCCTTTATGCTTTTCGTTTCTATTTTGGTTCAGGTAGAATTCTAAAGGAAAATGTCCCTAGGACAAGTGATATGTGTATTGCCTAAACTGGGACAAGGGAGGCCAAGTCACTGGATTTGTAGATTTGTGCTACCACTGGCAACTTGCTTATCTTCCTCTGCCTCAATTCCCAGATCTGGGAAGTGGAGCTAACATTCTGCTTTGCAAACAGAAGTGGCATCTCGTGCCTCTTCCTTAAGGTGCTTTGAGAATTGTTTTGGCAAGGCATCTATCTGTCTACAATGGTGACAATAAGTCCTTTAGCTAAGCCTTTTGGGTGTTGCAGGCATGGGATGTCTGTCTGGAGCAACAAGGTGCTTTCTTGCTCTGGTGGGTGAGAGTGAACTCAGAAATACAATGTAGAGCAAAATCTTGTTATGTTTATCACAGTTAATTATTAAAGGAGCCTTGTATTAAAGACCTATATGCAAAATACCTTCCTACTTTGTTTGCTGTCATTAAAGGAGCCTACCTTCTCTCTACAGAAAAGATGTATCTTAGTGACTTCAGTAGAGCAACAGCTCAGAAAGCTGAATATTTGAGTCCCCCCTTGTTTCTCTAAAACATGTATTTTGTGTGCAGCTTGTAAAACTGCTGGAGACTAAAGTTCTGTAAAAAGCAGATCTCCATAGTACCCCAGAACCTGGTGTATTTTAATTAGATGCTTACTGGCTGTGAGGGCCTATGAAACTGATAAAGTGTAAAATGGACATCTGTCAGGCAAAGCAGCTTTCCCATAACTTTGTCAAAGCCTTTTCCCTGCAAGTGGCAGTGACCATTTATCTGCCAGTGCCCTTTCTTCATCTTTGTTGGTTTCTGGCAAAGCAGTTGACTGGAGTATTGTCTCTGAAGTTTGAGAATGAGGAAATGTTCATGCTCTGTCACGGATTATTTATGAATTTATTTATTTCCTGAATGATTCCTAGCCAGTCACTGAATCTCTTTATAAACTGGCCATTCATCTCTGAAGTCAAGACTGTAGGCTGCCTCAGTGGAACCTGTGTGGAATTGTCTGAGCTGCTCAGCCATTCCAGCAGGGTGGGCAAAAAGAAACTAGGGCTCTGGTTTCTCTCTCTCACATGGTCTTGCATTTCCTGGGCAAACCTGTCCAAGTTCCTTCATTTTGCTGCTGCAATTACTATTTTTTCTTACCTTGAAAAAGGGGATTCTTTTTTGTTCTGGGTTCACAGGAAACTCTTACCAGTGCTAGTGAGCTGTGGTGGAACAGTGTAGTGGGACAGGACCTACACCTGCCTCCACTTGTTTCTATGTTCTGTAAGCCCAAAGAGCTGTGTGGACTGAGTATGTACCAAAATCTCAGGTTTTCCCTTTAGTAGTTTGAAGATTTTTTGGAAGACATATGCACTGTTTTGTATGTAATGTGAAAATATGGTGAAGGATACTTCAGAGACAGATTTTTTTCATTTTCATTTGTAAATACAATTTTTGAAAGCCCTTCAACTATCTGTCTTGTTTACTCAGTGCTTCCACTGACCTTTTAACATGGTAGGAAGCTTATCAATCCTATGCCACAGGTATTAGCAGACTGTGTCTTGGGCATGCTATAACCTAGATACTAGCTTTGTTTTATTCTCATCTCCTGAATTTATGCAGTGCTAAGTATTTTGCAATTTAAAGACTAGTTAATAGAAGGATTTAATGACCAAGAGTTAAATCCTGCTGTTGTCCTTCATTTCAGGATATTCTTCTGTGGTTAATGTTGTTCTGAATAAATGTCCAGAGATTTCTCACAACCTGTACTAGAGGACAGGCATTCGCATTCTATAAAAACAGTGATTCTATGAAATTCACTCACAGAGTACTGTGCTTGGTTGACATAATCTTCAAAATGGCCTGGTCTTGTAAGCACAGGCAAATTTAAAATACACATTCAGTGGAAAATCGGTGGTTCTGTTCTCTGAAGTTAGTGTTTTGGTTTGCAGTATCATTATCATGGTTTAAGCCCAGCCAGCCACCAAACACCACACAGCAGCTCACTCACTCCCCCACCAGTGGGATGAGGGAGAGAATCAGAAGGGTAAAAGCTAGAAAACTCGTGGGTTGAGATAAAGATGGTTTAATAGGGAAAGCAAAAGCTGCACACACAAAAACAAAACAAGAAATTAATTCACTGCTTCCCATGGGCAGGAGGTGTTCAGCATCTCCAGGAGAGCAGGGCCCATCACACATAATGATTCCTTGGGAAGACAAACGCCATCACTTCAAATGTCTCCTCCTTCCTCCTTTGTCTCCCCACCTTATATACTGAGCATGATGTCATATGGTATGGAATACCCCTTTGGTCAGTTTGGGTCACCTGTCCCAGCTGTGTTTCCTCCCAGTTCCAGCATGGCAGTATGGAAAGCAGCAAAGGCCTTGGCTCTGTGTGAGCTCTGCTCAGCAATAACAAAAACATCTCCATATTATCAACCCTGTGTTCAGCACAAATCCAAGACACAGTCCAATACTAGCCACGGTGAAAAACGTTAACTCTACCCCAGCCAAAACCAGCACAATCATTCCATCTTTGAGGATGCATTCTGGAGACACTAAATCAAGCAATAACATATTTGTGAGCTATAAACTTAAAAGGTATAGGTTATTTTGCACCAATGTGTTTTTCCCATAGAAGACATGAACTTTTCTACTGGTTTATTGGTAATGTTTGTTATCATTATGCATGATTTCTGGCTTAAAGTAGGACCTGCACTCCAGTGAACACAGTATAAAAAAAGACAACCTGTGCTCTGAATTGGTTATGATTAAGCATCAGTATTACCAACGGATCTTCATTAAAAATCTAAACCTTGTTTTTGCAGCAACTGGGTATTTTGCAGTTGATCTGAGAAAAGCAAAGGCTTCACTGATTATCTCTTTTGGTAAAAATTCTTGTCAGTAGCTGCCTGGAATGTAGTGGTTTGAAACCATCAATATGTCACTTGTACAGAACATAGGGTATGTGAACTCAACTCTGCTCTCTGCTTCCTCTCACAGCATTACACAAACACTGTTTTTTTGGTTTGAAAATAAGTGGTGTATTGGCATAACACCTTTCAGTTGTAAATTCTGCTTTTTAAAATTGAATACTGTATTTTCCATGTTTCTTCAGGGCTCACTGGAAGGATTATAAAAGCTATCATCAAGGAAGGATTTCAGATCTCAGCTTTGCAGATGGTAGGTTTCCTTTTGTGTATGTTTTTCTGATAAACAGTAGTTGGACAAGTGCCATATGCTACAATGCATGGGTGTCTTCCTGCAATATAGAACCCTTGTCCAGGCTGTAGCAATGTTTTGGGATCAGCATTGTTCTTGTGATATTTGTGTTTTATTGTTTGATTGATCATCTGATCTATTTCTATTTGTTCAGTGAACTTGAGGCAATACACTGTACTTCTCTGAATCTGAGTTTCCTGTAGTTAGAAGAGGGGATAATGATACCTGTCTCTTCTGAAGCAATTTGAGATATCTTTACAAAATGCACTAGCTAAGATTAATGAAACTATTGTTAATATCCTTCCTTAATTTTTTTAAAATTATTTTTATGGGAATGCTTTTAAAGATTCTGAAAGGATTTTGACACCCTGAACACCCTCAGCAGTTATAAGATTATCTCCAAGAGTAGCCCACTAATTCCTGTCCTTCAATTTTTGTGCAAGTCTCAAGATCTGAAATTCCCCTATCACTCAAATCCCCATCACAAATGAAGAATATACCCTTTCCTTTGCTATCCAAGAAAAACATCCTCTTGCATGTCTTAGTGGCATCAGCTAAAACACTACTTGTCTACTTAGATTTAAGGTGGAAAAAGATACTATGTGCTATAGTGCCTGTGACATCATTGACTAAGCTGTTGACAAACTTCATATTGCAGCAGTAAAGCCATTCCTTTAACTTAGTGAAACTTGAAAGAGAATTCTGAATGTTTGCTGGTTAAAAATGGATGTCTGTCTGATGTTTTTTGATACAGACTGGCTAACATTTTTGTTTTCTTAGTTCAACATGGAGCGTACAAATGTGGAAGAATTTTATGAGATATATAAAGGTGTCGTCCCTGAGTACATGGTAAGCATAAGTTTGAGAAGAATCTGTTAAAAAAATAAAATATGATTCAATGAGGAATCTTTTTCTTGCTTGGGATTGTGTCAGGATTCCTTTTAGGAACCTGGTATTGGTCAGTTCTAGTTTGTTCTCAAATAAATTCATTAATCTTGAAAATTGTGCTATCTATGTTGAAATAAAGGAGGATCTTTCATGAAAATTGTCCAGCCAAGGAATCTGTAAAATATGAGAGTGATGCTCCCCACTTACCCCAAGTCAGTAATCTTATTGCTGTAGAGCTATGAGAATGTGTCACATCTGCATCTTGGCTTGATTGATATTGAAGTGGTGACTTGGACGAGGATATATATTTATTGTTTTATTTACAATGACTTGCTGTATTTGAAGCTTTCCTAATGACATTTTGAGCCATTCTTTCATTGATTGATCTGACTTCTGTAGATCTTCAGAAAATTGAAGTTTAAGATATGCTGCAATCCCAACAGACATCTAGGACTCTATGTTATTATGCCTTGTTGAACTGTCAGATAAAACTTCCTGACTGCAGATAGAACAATGGGATACCAGAAGATGAGCTTGTATTTCTCTATCACCTTGTCAGAGGATTTTGGTTCCTTTAACTCATAGTAATTTTTAAATTTACTATATAGTTTACTCATAGTAATGAGCTTAGCTTCACTGCCATGCTATGCACTATGCAAATTATCCTTAATTTTTAAATGCTTAAATTATTTAAAAGTTTCTATGTATTCACAAATATTACTCCAGACAGTTACTAATATTACTCTTACAATGAATTTATTATTATTTTTCTCCGTTTATGATTGTTCAGCCTAACTTAATTCAGAGTCCAGTGCTACTGCAAAAGTCTCTGCTTTGAACCAAACTGGAAGTTTTCTGCCATTTTATGCAGCTCTTTTATACAATCTCTGACTCTCTAAGAAGTTGCAGATTTTAGTTATATAATTTAATTGGAGAGTTACTCAAAGGAGAAGGTGACATTTAAACAGGCTAAGTCAATAAGTAAGATATGTTTTAGGTGATTTCAAGAAAAGTGAAAAACTAGGGCTCTGTCCTGCAAGTTGTATGTACTGTATTCCCTCAGCTGAAGAGAAATCAAATAACTCCATGCACTCAAGATACCTGACAAACAGGAAAACATAGGAAAGCTGATCATGATGGTAAAGGGATCCAGAGAAGGCACACATGGGAACAGCAACAGATATTGTCAGTGCAGGCCAAATAGGAAGAAGTATGTTGCCAAATAGGATATTGAAGAAAGAATATGACCTCTCATACATGTGACTCAGAACCATCTGTTTTGATCTAAATTTTATTTATCATTCAAAAATAACTCAGTACAGAAGATACTGGCATCCAGAAATCGTCTTAAAAAACTGTACTCCCATTTCTTCTGGTTACCCCTTGTCAGTCAGATAAGGGCTTGACATTATATATAAAGTACTTCTTTGTGGAAAGAGAAAGGTATACAATTGCCCAAAATTTCAGCTTTGTTGGTATCTCCTGTATGGGAATTTGCATACTATTGATTAGTTTTTGTGCTGTTTTGCTTTGTATTTCCTGCTGTAGCCAGAATAGAAACTGGAGTAAAAAGAAGGGAGATTATTTTGGGTCAGCTCAGAATTTGCTTTGTTATTCTAAAATGCTTGAGCTTGATCCAGCTCCAGGAGGGTTTTGGTTGAACACAAACCATGCTATTTGATGAATCAACTCCTTACTAAAGAAAATCTGATTTAGCTGTAACTGGGAGTCTTACCAGATAAACTATGCCTGCTATGTACATTCTATTCTGAACTTGATGAGGTGGTGTAAGGTAGACCAAGCTTGTCTGACACAGTACCACCTGCCTCTGTGCTGTAGTTGATGGCAGCTGGTCTTCAGCTTTGTACTGTTATGAAGGTATCAAGAGCAACTTTGGTCACAGCGTTCGCTGTTGCTGGTGGGATGTCAGTGCTGGTACAGAAACAGTAGAAAAGGGAGGAACAAGAATAACAACTGTTTGCAAAGAGGAATTTGGTTGATTCAACTAGCATTAAAAGCCTGGGTTTTTTCTATTTTCCTGTTAACAGTTATTTAGATGATAGAATTCAATGAAATTGTGTGGAGTAGGGACTATTTGGTAATTTGCTGTTTCTTTAGCAGAATGAAATCTGTTGTTCTTTGACCTATTCTTAACAGATGATCTGTTGGTGATAACAGGTTTTGGAATTAAAATATGTAATCATGTTGTAGAGCATGAAACTAGTCTGCACTCTCTTCATATCCTCACAGGAGTACTTCTACCTAGATTTCCTAGGATCAGGTTGATGACAAAAAAAAAGTTGCTGGGGGAAGTGGTGGCTGCCCCAACCCTGGCAGTGTTCAAAGCCAGGCTAAATGAGGCCTTGAGCAACCTGGTCTAGTGGGGAGAGGGCAGGGGCGGATGGAACTAGATGATCTGTAAGGTCCATTCCAACCCCTAAAATTCTGTGATTCTATGATTCTATGATAGAGGCACTTGACTAAGATTCAGAGTGGGGAGTTAAGGTACATGTTCTCAGCATGGAATCCATTGTGAGAATAGAAACTCTTTTGAACAGTGCTGCCTGACTCAGAGCCTTTATGTATTTAGTTTCCATCAGAATTCATAATAGGCAGAGAAGGGCTTAGTCCTTCTTTTCCTACTGCTCTTTTATCCACTCTGTCTGCTGTTATTCTTTGCCATGGCTCATTCTTGACCTGCCCATGGCTGGTGGGCATGATTGCAATACCTTGCTTGTCCTTACCTGTCCTCCCTTATTTTCTGTGCATGTTTTCTCCTTTCCTTTTTCCTCATTGTTTTTGATTCCTTTAATTGTCCTGATTAGTTTAAAACTTGTCTGTCCAGACTTCTAGACAAGGATGCAATTATAAGAGCATGATTTAAAAAAGGAAGTCAGACTAGAGCATCAAAATAGATTCTTTCTTCTTGTGAAACCTATACCTCTAATTAACTAACTCCAAATTGGCACTAATGCCCAGAGTTAATTTAAGCTTATGAAAACTAAGACCCATCTTCATCACCCACACAGAACTCACGATGTCTCTTTACTCTCCAGGAGGCTGCAGGGAAACAGATGATTTCAGTGTAAATGAGATTCTGGTAATAGTACACCACAAGAATGTTGCCAGATCAAGGACCTTTTTGGTAACAGATTGTCCCACAGGCACACATTCTGTTGGCTTGTGTGTTTCAGCTTCTGTAATAATACGTGAGGAAAAGACAGTGAGAACCAAAAGCTCAAGACACATTTTAATGACTTAAAGCCATCAAATGGGTGTATATTTGGAAACAAATATAGGCTGAGTACCATCCGTCCTGTAGGGAACACTGCAAAGTACATTGCTGCCTCTGGAACTGGCTGAACAGAGTGTGATTTTTTAGGCTTACACCCAGCAGAGTGTGTTCCATTGATTCAGTCTAGTTTGACAAGTCATGGGATACTGCCATGAAATCCAGGTCCAGATCAATAAGGATGTACCCATGAAAGAATTTAAAGTATTGTGCATGCTGTTATATGCTATTCAGTGTCCTGTTGAAGCTGAATATCCAATTTATCTCAATTTCTACCTTCTAAACCAAGTAGAAAAATGGAAAACACATCTTTTGCTGTGAATACTTTGTTTCATGTCCTTGCTTTCCTAAATGCACAGATATTTCTTAATTGTTCCTGTCCTGTAAGTTTGGACCTTGTTTTGGGGAGGAATACAACCCTTGCTAATGCCCAAATAAGCTCAGCTTTGTTTCTGTCTTTTTTCCTCTTCCAGGAGATGGTTACAGAGTTGTGTTCAGGCCCTTGCATTGCAATGGAGATTTTACAGCCCGAGCCTCCAAAAGTGTTCAGAGACTTCTGTGGTCCTTCTGACCCTGTAAGTACTTGCTTGAGTGCTAAAGAAAGCTTAAAAAGTTGATGTGCTATGTGAATGAAAATTTCAAAGTGTGATATGGCTGCACATACCTGCTCCATTCGTTAGAAACAAAAGTTGATGTGCTATGTGAATGAAAATATCAAAGTGTGATATGGCTGCCACATACCTGCTCTATTCATTAGAAACGTGAGCATTTCCTTATTATGGAGGTCAAACTCTAGCCTTAGTGGACCTATTTACAAATCCTTTAGCAACTCTTCTAATTTTACCTAAACCAGATGATAAAATACTGTGATGATATTCATGTGAAAGCAAAGCTATCTAGGCAAAAAACTCTGTTAAAGATTCACAGATACTCTAACACAAGGCTTCAGAACCCTGGAATGGACAGTTATTGCTAGTGGATGCCAGTGCAAACAAGTGTTAGTCCACTGCAGCCTGTGGCATTTCCCTAGACTGAGTCTGTGAAAAGAGAATTGGTTCCTTTGATTTTCAGTAGGAAGCAAACAAAAAAGGGTATTAAAGTTCTCATACTTGTTTGTTTTAGCTTTTATTTTTCATTTCTTGAGGTGGGTAACTGGATATCTGAGATACTGTGTGCAATTTGGAGACAAGCATAAGTGCTGTCCGAAAAAATTTGCAGATTTTTGTTAAGCAGTGAAGGCTACACCAGAACAATGAGGTGAAATATCAAGATGGAGGTGATCAATCAGGTCAGGGTTTGTATGTTTTTCTGGTTATGATTTGATGTTTTGGTTGCAGACTGAGGGGATTTTCCATTTTTTATGGAAAAAAATCATACAGATGAATGCTTGAAGGAGAGAACAAGTTAATCAGGGTGTACATTTTTTCAGATCCAGAGTTTCTGTTACAGAAAGCACAAGTTAAAAGCATTATGCAAACCTTGTTTTTCCCCTTCTGTTAAATGTTTCTCTGCTGGGTTAGCATCTTGTAAGCAGAGCATAAGCTGTTTATCTGACTTGGTTTTAACTGCAGGATGATATATCAGTCGTAATGTATACAATATTTGTTTTCTGACTTGGTTTTAACTGCAGGATGATACATCAGTTGTAATGTATACAATATTTGTTTCAATTTCCATGTTAAAGGTTTCTGGTCTTTAAAACTCTCAAAGATGCAGTCATTCTGTTTGGGCCTATTGTGTCATTTTCATGTGTCTACTTGTATATTAAAATCAATATATGCTTGAAAACATCACAGTTGCTTTTGGTTATGACAGCCAAGTGTACCTATACAAGGGGAATTTCACTACTTCTCCTTACTACATCACATGTAAAGCCATCATAGCCATACAACATGTGTGACCCAAGAAACCGTGGATGAGCTGAGGAACTGAGGGATGTATAAAATGATGGGTAGCAGAAGAAAACAGCAAAGGAGGGAATTAAATTCCTGTCTCCCACATCTCTTGCTAGTGATCTAGAGATGCTGTTTGTGTTTCCCTTTTAATGGTTAACTGTGAGCCTTGTGAAGTGAAAATGACTACCCTCCTGCTTCTACTGGAAGCAGATGGCTCTAAGTTTTGGACACTTGACTTCATAGCAGTTACACTAATGGTATGTCTGAAAAACGGGCTGCTGTTTTCTTTAAGAATTGCAAATTAATTGATTCTTCAAGCACATAAAGTATATGTACAGTAACTACAGCTGTCCTCAAGACTGATAGTTGCCAGAAATTTATCTGTCTCTTCAGATACTGTCTGTAGCTTGTCTTTGAGGAAGAAGGGGCTAAGATACCTCAGTGGCTTTTGTCATTCCCAGCTGAAGCTGTTAGAGAAGCTCACAACTGCACTTTGTGGTTACAATATTTGCATCAAATAGGAGTAGCAGAAATCATAACAGCAGTCCACAAAGATAATGTGGCCTTGATATTCTAGTGGTTTAATCTAAGTGTCATGCAAATAGTGCATTATCATTGAGAGATCTGGATCTCTCTATAATTTGTTTGTTTGTTTGCATATGCTAGATCCTGATGTTTGTGCAGTCTGTTTATGAACATAGGGCAAGACCAAGTTCACTAAAAATGTACCTGTTTGGGTCACTTTGGCTCCTGTTAAAGAGTACCCTAGTTGGCAAGTAGTGCCATTGAAATTCAAAGTGAGTAAAGGTGTCGGAATTTGACTTATATAATGAATCCCTCCCAATCACGTGTGCTGTTAATTGTACCTTAGATACATAGCAAATGTAATAATTACTTTGTGGCAAGTCAGATATCTCAACTGGCTATGAATGTTAACAGTCCTTTCAGTTCACTCTTGGTTTTGCAAGATGTTTAGGGCTGAAGAAAGAATTAGAATTCTTTTATTTTGAGGATTATGCTTTATTAAGATGGCAATTTATACGAAGTGTGTGATGCTAAAAATGGCATGGAACTTTGTGTAATCTTCTATAACAGTTTTTTTTTAAATTTTTTAAGCTAAAAATGGAACTTTGTGTAATCTTCTATAACAGGGTTTTTTTAAATTTTTTTATTTTGTTAGCACTGCAGGTCAGTACAGCTCTCTGCCAAAAGTATCCTTCATTATAAACCAGCTTATAAATACTTTATTAAAACTCCCTTTGTGGTAGTAGGGAAGACAACTAACCAAAGTCCTGTTTGGAGCCTCTCTGTAGTAGTGTACGAAGGAACTTTGTGTAATCTTCTATAACAGGGTTTTTTTAAATTTTTTTATTTTGTTAGCACTGCAGGTCAGTACAGCTCTCTGCCAAAAGTATCCTTCATTATAAACCAGCTTATAAATACTTTATTAAAACTCCCTTTGTGGTAGTAGGGAAGACAACTAACCAAAGTCCTGTTTGGAGCCTCTCTGTAGTAGTGTACGAACAGCCTATCAAATCTGGAAAGCAGGCAGTAGGGTAAAGATACTTCCCTGTAGGGAGCTGTGCTGGACATGCCCACTCAAAATTGCTGTGACCTGATTGAAGGCCACAGTGTCTCACATTGCAGGCTTGTGGAACATTTGTCTGCAGTAGATAGTACTAGGAGAAATGCTTTTCTGCACATCTTGCTGCTGCTTGCATTCTTCCTGTACACTGGCACTTTTCTGCTGAGTGGTTGGCTGGCTCACCACGCTCTTGGTGAACTGTCAGCAGCTTTGATTATACGTGGCTTAAGCTCCTGGAATGCAGCTGATTCTTTTGTGTCGTTGGTGGTCTCATCTGAAACCTTTCTGTAGTCTTTCAGATTACTTGTGGTGCTTGTTCTTATCATCCAATTGCAGCCTATAGCTTAGCTGTTTGTCATAGCCAGGTCCCAACCTGCTTGTGTGACTTGCTCTTGGCAACTCTTTGTGTGTTCTTCTGTCTATCCTGCACTGCCTCTGTGGCTAATATGTAGAGCTTAGAAATGGAAGCTCTCTCCATATCTGCTATAATAAACAGGTATTTACTCTTTACTTATCGATGTGCACCCCTGTAAAGGGCCAGCAGTCACGCTGCTGCCCGCTTGAAAATGTTTCTTTCCAATGTTAATAAGGGCTGTTTAAAAAAGATCTTGGAATTTCACACAAGACAGGAGCTTTTCAAGGAGGGGAAGCACCCACAGGCTCTGCTATGCATCCAAAACTGTGAGGTTTGATATTGACATCCTGTGAGCAGCTGAGGACTTTGGCTTAGATGTGTAAATTTTAAATAGGGATGGGGTCTCTGAAATGACTTTGAATTCCACTGTTTTTCATGGTGTGTCTGAATCATGTAAGTCCTTTTAAAAAATGCACTATCAAATCTTGTTATCATAGAATCATAGAATCAACCAGGTTAGAAGAAACCTCAAGGATCATCGAGTCCAACCCTACCGTGGTTACTAGACCATGGCACTAAGTGCCACATCCAGTCCTGTCTTGAAAACCTCCAGGGATGGTGAATCCACCACCTCCCTGGGCAGCACATTCCAATGCCTGATCACTCTCTCTGTAAAAAATCTCTTCCTAATATCCAACCTAAACTTCCCCTGGCAGAGCTTGAGTCTGTGCCCTCTTGTCCTGCTGCTGGTTGCCTGGGAGAAGAGACCAACCCCCACCTGACTACAACCTCCTGTCAGGGAGTTGCAGAGGGTGATAAGGTCTTCCCTGAGCCTCCTCTTCTCCAGGCTAGACAACCCCAGCTCCCTCCGCCTCTCCTTATGGCACTTGTGCTCGAGGCCCTTCACCAGCCTCGTTGCTCTTCTCTGGACCTGCTCCAACACTTCAATATCCTTCCTGAACTGAGAGGCCAGGTTGTCAAATTATGTAGGTTGTCAAATTACAGGGTTTGTGCTGGGTGCGCTTTCACTCTACCGGTACAGTTCTGTTATGAAGAGAAAAAAAAATTACATCTGTGGCAAAGAGGTAACTGCTCTAGAAATCTAGGAAGAGGACTTAAAAATTTCATTAAATTGGATTACTAAAGACCACAAATCTTTTGAACTTTCAATACACACCATCATTTAGAAATGAGTTACTAACTGCAACCAAAGTTCAACAGAAATGAAGCTGTGCTTCTTTGTTGTAAATAGATGCAGGTGCTTGGAGGGGTAGAGGTAAATGCAGCACAGTGTGCATTATCAAGAAAGCTCTTTGTTTAAGTGCAGTAAGAAAAAAAAAAGCAATCTATTCTGCATTGATTTGACTTTCTTTAACATGGACCAGGATGCAAAGTCTGTAATGCAAAACCTCGGAATAGGGGGATGGTGGCCATGGAATCCTGTCACTGCTTGAGCTTGTTGGCATCGATATTTCATTTCATTGATGTTTGTGTCTTTTTGGCCTCTGGAGTACTTGGAGGCTTTTATTTTATTACTTAGGTCTGAAGCTGCAGCTTTGGTTTTCACATCTTCTTCGTGCAGTTTCTATGTTGAAATAGCTAAATGTGACTCAAGTACCTTCTGTTGTGAGATATTATTAAAGTGATGGACATGCTGCAATATTTCTGCATCCAGTGGGCTGAAAAGGGATTTTCATATTCTTGTTTTAGATCCTAACCTGCATTCTTTTTACATTGGGG